CATCCCTGCCCGCGGTCGACGCGCTCCGGCCCCGCCCGTTGCACGCTCACCGCGTGCCTCTCCCCGTCGCTCCCGTGCACGGCCTCGCTGGCCCACGGCCGCGGCCACGGCGCTCGACCGCCCTGCTCGTGACCCGTGGCCGCGCCACCATCGCCTCCTCATGCGCCCCCCACTGCGTCGCGGCCTTCACCTGGACGCCGCCCCTCGCTGCCGATTCCCGGCGCCCGCACGCGTGCCGACTGCCTCGGTCGCGCCCGGTGGCCTCACCCCCACACCGCCGCCCCGCAATGCCCGGTCGGGTGCGCCCCTGTTCGGGCTGTGCCCCGACGCCCGCGCCCTCTAGGCCCCTATGGGCCACAGACATGTGGGGCCCAGCCCCAGAACGGTTTTATAAAAAAAAAGAATTAAAAAATATATATATTAAATAAATAAATAATAATTAAATTAATTAATTAATTAAGGAATTAATTAAGTTAATTAATCATAATTAGATTAACCTAATTAACTAATTAGTTTAATTAAATAGTAATTAGATTAGCTAAACATTAATTAGACTAAACAGTCAATGATGAACGGGACCCACCTGTCGGGTTGACCAAGTCAACCCTGTTGACTGCTGACGTCAGCATGACATCATGCTGACGTCATAAATTCATTTTCGAATTAAATAATTAATTAATTAAATTCCAGAAATTTATATAATCTTTAGAAAATCATATCTTTTAATCCGTAACTCGGATTAAAATATTTTCAACATGAAAGTTGCTCAGAACGACGAGACGAATCCGGATACGCAGTCCGTTCGTCCGCCACACACCCCTAACCTATCGAACTCGCAACTTTCCCCCTCCGGCTCCTCTGCCCGAAAACGCGAAACACCGGGAATACTTTCCCGGATGTTTCCCCCCTTAACCGGTACCACCTCATACCACGTTAGGGCACACCTAGCACCGCTCATTGTCACGTCACGCATCGTCGTGTTTATGTTTGCATTGTATTCATTGTTTCTTCCCCCTCTTATCTCCGGTAGACTACGAGACCGACGCTGATGCCACCGAGTACGACTACGTCACCAACGACCCCTCCTTGTCTGAGCAACCAGGCAAGCCCCCCCCCCCTTGATCACCAGATATCGCCTATTCTCCTCTATACTGCTTGCATTAGAGTAGTGTAGCATGTTACTGCTTTCGTTAATCCTATTCTGATGCATAGCCTGACATTGTCGCTACATCTGTTGATACCTTACCTGCAATCCTAAATGCTTAGTATAGGATGCTAGTTTATCATCATTGGCCCTACATTCTTGTCAGTCTGCCTTGCTATACTATCGGGCCGTGATCACTTGGGAGGTGATCACGGGTATATACTATACATACATACATACTATACAGATGGTGACTAAAGTCGGGTCAGCTCATTGAGTACCCGCAAGTGATTCTGACGAGGGGGCTGAAAGGACAGGTGGCTCCATCCCGGTAGAGGTGGGCCTGGGTTCCCGACGGCCCTCGACTGTTACTTTGCGGCGGAGCGACAGGGCAGGTTGAGACCACCTAGGAGACAGGTGGGCCTGGCCCTGTTCGGCGTTCGCGGATACTTAACACGCTTAACGAGATCTTGGTATTTGATCTGAGTCGGCTACGAGCCTATACGCACTAACCATCTACGTGGGAGTAGTTATGGGTATCCCGACGTCGTGGTATCAGCCGAAGCACTTCAGACGTCAGCGACGGAGCGGCGCGCGCCGAATTGGACTGGAACGCCACTAGGCTAGGTCTGCTTTCGGCCGCGTACGCAACGTGCAGGTGTGCTATGGGTGATGGGCCCAGACCCCTGTGCGCTTAGGTTTAGACCGGCGTGCTGGCCTCTCTGTTGAGCCTAGGTGGGGCTGCGACGTGTTGATCTTCCGAGGCCGGGCATGACCCAGGAAAGTGTGTCCGGCCAAATGGGATCAAGCGTGTTGGGCTATGTGGTGCACCCCTGCAGGGAAGTTAATCTATTCGAATAGCCGTGATCTTCGGTAACAGGACGACTTGGAGTTGTACCTTGACCTTATGACAACTAGAACCGGATACTTAATAAAACACACCCTTCCAAGTTCCACAGACAACCCGGTGATCGCTTTTCTACAGGGCGACGAGGAGAGGATCGCCGGGTAGGATTATGCTATGCGATGCTACTGGAGATGCTACCTGGATATGCTACTTGGAGATGCTACTTGGAGGACTTCAATCTACTCTCTTCTACATGCTGCAAGACGGTGGCTGCGAGAAGCGTAGTCTTCGACAGGATTAGTTATCCCCCTCTTATTCTGGCATTCTGCAGTTCAGTCCACTGATATGGCCTCCTTACACATATACCCATGCATATGTAGTGTAGTTCCTTGATTGCGAGTACTTTGGATGAGTACTCACGGTTGCTTTCTCCCTCTTTTCCCCTTTCCCTTCTACCTGGTTGTCGCAACCAGATGCTGGAGCCCTGGAGCCAGACGCCACCGTTGACGACGACCCCTACTACACCGGAGGTGCCTACTACTACGTGCAGCCCGCTGGCGACGACCAGGAGTAGTTTAGGAGGATCCCAGGCAGGAGGTCTGCGCCTCTTTCGATCTGTATCCCAGTTTGTGCTAGCCTTCTTAAGGCAAACTTGTTTAACTTATGTCTGTACTCAGATATTGTTGCTTCCGCTGACTCGTCTATGATCGAGCACTTGTATTCGAGCCCTCGAGGCCCCTGGCTTGTATTATGATGCTTGTATGACTTATTTTTATTTGTAGAGTTGTGTTGTGATATCTTCCCGTGAGTCCCTGATCTTGATCGTACACCTTTGCGTGCATGATTAGTGTACGATTGAATCGGGGGCGTCACATCTTATAACTTGGTTGCAACTCAACTTTCATTTTTTGCTGTACGGGGAGAGGCACCAGTTGCATGTCCCACACTAGGCACGCAACTACATGTCTTAGACCATGGTCGCAACTGGGATGGACTCTTGTTTGGTCGGAGGGGACGCCGTCGAGAGAGATGGGGCCAGTTGCATGTCCCACAATGGGCATGCAACTGCATGTCTTGTAACTTGGTCGCAACTCAGGGGGGCCCTTATTTCGTCGGAGGGGGCGGCAGCGAGAGAGAGGTGTCCAGCTGCATGTCCAACTATACTCATGCAACCGCATGTCTTCTAGCATGGTCGTAACTTAGTGTCTTCTAACTTAGCTGCAACTAGGTGCCTTTGTTTTGTCGAAGGGGCGGCGGCAAGAGAGAGGAGGACAACTAGTCATGCAATTGCAATCGCTTTCCCCTGGAGTATAACTACATGTCTTTTTACAAACATTTTTCGCAACTAGACTTTTTTGCTTGGTTGGAGGGGAGGGGGGGGGGAGCTCCCCCGTGAATCCCCTACCCTCACTATGTGTCACACGAGCACCATAACACCCACGTTTTCTGCCATGCCTGCAAACACAAATCAAGCACCCGGTCTCACAACCAGTTTGTGTTTTTTTCTTATTTTTTGAAATCATACAATTTTTTTCCTTTTCTTCTTTTGCATTTTTTTGTTTTTCCAAGGATGAAGAAAGAAAAAATATATTTTTTTTGTGTCTGATTCTGACAACGGCGCTCATTTTCTCATAAAAAGGATCATATTAAAGGAGAGAAGAGTTACTTGTCCAGATCCTCGGACACATTTTTAATGTTGTTGTGAAGGGGGTATGCTAGTAGGCACACAACTGCAAGCTTCGTCCCGACTGCAAGTGCATGTCTTCCAATAGTTATGCAATTGCATATGCGTCTCCTGATTGCAACTCCAACTTAGTACCGTTTTGTCCGGATGAAGGAAGGCAATTGCAGTTGCTACTATGCACGCAAGTGCAAGCATCGCCAGACTATAATTGCATCTCTTCAAAGAGAGTGCAACTCTTTGTTCTTTTGTGAGGGATGAGGGAAGATTCAAATCCGTATTTTAAATATTTACCATCAAACTTAATTGTTTTTCTTTTTTCAATATTTGCCATTAGGTGGCACACACGTCGGCCACATGAGTTGCTTTCTTCGTCTACCTAGTTGCACACATGTCAGCCACATGCAATTGCATGTCCTTGATCGAACACAATTACATATCGCACACAATTGCATGTCATTCGCATGCAAATTACTTTTTCCCCTTCCAAAATAATATTGATACCCATTTGCACACTAGTCGGACGCATATAGTTATTCGTAGGTCACAGACAATTAAGTTGTGCTCTTCTTTTTATTTTGTTTGTTTTTATTTTTTTTCTTTGTTCCATTAAATATTCCTTTATCATTTAAAAATACAAAAAAATGAAAAAAAAACAGGATGACAAAAAAAGAAGGAACAGAGCATTAGCAATGCTAGGGTGAAAAATAAGAGCTACATTGTGTTGTGTAGCAATACACCAACGGGACAATGTTCTACCAATTCCAGTAAAAAGCACAAATAAATAAAAAATTAAAAAACAAACACAGGCACAATGAAGAGACAATGTCAATACAGCCCAACAGCAGCCCACGTGGTGAGCCAACGCAGGCCAACACAAAACGAACAGGGAAACTGACTCCAGGCATGCGAACGAATTTAAACGAGCGATCAATTTATTTATGACGTCAGTTGACTTAGACTTCGCGAAGTCTAAGTCGACTGAGATCTAGACAGACCCATAATTATATGGACATGGTGCGGGCAGAACGTGTGTGTGGGAACTGGCAGAAAACGATCCTTGGTCCCAGCCAGATCATCGAGCACGACCCAGCTATAACTCAAACGCGGAGTATTGTAAGAATAGTCATTTTTTTGAAAAAAAATGGGTATGGTGCTACACCCTTTGCCCCATGTGATAACATATTATATTATGAGATGGAGGGAGTAATTCACAGTCAGTCCGTGTTTCACGGTGCTTGTATATTTCTCCTGGCAGAAGGATGGTTGGGTTAATCATGTCAGTCAAGTACGTGAAGATTTTACAGAACTCTTCTTTGCGTGGCCAGGGTCCTCCGGACATTCCCAGCCAGCTGATGCAGGCCACCGCCTACATCGAAGACCTATACGAGAGAGTCGAAAGGCTGAGGCAGATGAGAGATGACAAAACCCAAAGCCGAAGGATGGCCGGGCGCAGCTGCAGCGGCAGCGTCCTAGACACAGGAGGGGCGGGACCATCGGGTCCTGGGGACGTAACGGTGCAGCTCGGCGGGGCGGCGCATTTCGACGTGAGCTTCACGACGGGCTCCGCGGAGAGAGTCGAGATGCACAGGGTGATCCGCCTGATCGAGCAGGATGGACGCATGGAGGTCGTCGAGGCGAGCTGGTGCTTCGTCGATGGTGGCAAGGTTTTCTACACGATCAAGTGCATGGTAATATTATGGTCCACCCCAGCTTCGGCATGCATGCTTGCTTGCTTTCTGTTCGGTTGATGATCAAATCTTGTTCCTGCAAATGACACTGTCTTCACTGTGCGTGTGTGAATGTGATATGCAGGCAATGAGCTCTGAGGCTGTCTTGGATGCGTCCATGGCGGCGACAAGGCTCAGGAGGTTGCTGACGGACTCACTTGGTGGCCATGGTGTCTAAGTAAACTAATTGGTCAAGTATTAAGCTCGGCTGGAAGATCTGCAGAAGACCAAGGGGATGGCTGGCTGCGTCTTTGTTCTTCTTAACATAAACTTAAATTGTCACCCACAAAAAAAAAACTTAAATTGTACCTTGGTACATTGTAATATCATACAGTATGCATGCATAAACACTTTTAATTTTTAAACTACATCCCTTTGCAAGTTGAACCATTGTTCTTGCATAAACATTTTAAATACCAAGGTTTGCATCACCCTCTTTAAGGTTGGCAATCCGAGCGCATCGTCGTATTAATGTCCGGAGAAGGAAGAACCATATTCACCGAATCAAACTCACGAATGGATGGGTTACTGACCATGGCGGGAAAAAAAATCATCCATGACCACTTCTCTATGGTCATAGGGAAGGGAGACACGAGCAATCTTGACTTCAATTGGAAGGAGTGTTGGAATTATGTGTCCTGCAACTATATTCAAATTACTTAGAATTGTTAATATTCCGAATACCTCGTATGGAATTATACATGTATTTATACATGGAATTGCTTTACATGTTTAGCATGGAGTTGTTACTTGTTGGAATGTACTTAAGCAATATATGCTTAAGGAAGCTGTCGATTATCAGTGAAATACAATACTATTTATATTGGAAAGACTATCCGGGTACACTGATGATTGGAAGGGGCTAGATCGTACAGTTAGATTACAGTCCTAATGTTGATCTATGTAATTAGAGAAATTTACACTCTGTTATGGCGCGCTGCTCACAAGCGCGTGCTCCGGGGACACAACGGCTAGAATCCGTTAACAGACAAATTTGATCGTAGTTGATAATTTGATCTGGACTCTATCCGGAAAACTAGTTGGAAAGACTAGGAATCTTATCTGTATAAGAGATGGACTCTTTGGAAAGGCAGTATAAGAAGGTCCCTACCCCCTAGCCTCAGATATGCAAATTATGAGCGACACCACGGATAAGCGCAGAGGAATTAAGGGGTAGACGGCAAACCCTAAATTTCTAACATTGGTGTCAGAGCAAGGTTCGGTGCGTGGTCTAACCCTGGTACGTCGGGACCTCTGCCGCCGGTGTCCGCGATTGATTCGGCTGTCGTGCAATCACTTCTGCCCGCGTCCGTACTATTTGTTCGCGAGATCAAGTCCCTGGTAAACTTTAGTTGTGCCGGCTGAGGAAGGTAATCGGGCTCCTGTTCACGCTATGATTCACGTGCGTAGCGCGGAAGGAAGGAACTAATTGATCAAGGAATATTGCTCTTTGCTGGCTCGGTGATTCTTCTGCCAACCATTAAGCAAGTTCAGGCCGATTGAGGAATTGAGGTATTGGGGTCTACTAATCGATCTTGCTTGTACAATTTTTGCATGGCTGCAGGAAGAAAGTTTCAAATCCTGCGTACGCGTATGGGATTAGCAGTGCTGGACTTGTTTTTTCTATGCGTACGGACCAATCAACAATCGAAGCATCCAGTTGTGCAGATTGTTTGTCCTCTGTGCACGGATCGAGGGAACATGCTTGGAACACAAAATTTTCTTTGCTAACTTGGTCAGATTCGTGCATGTCCAAGTGTATTAAGGACCGGAAATCAAGCCCAGCGTTGCTACGTATTGTGTGCATTGTACAGGAATAAATCAGGCTAGTTTTTTACATGGACCTCGCTGTTGGTGCCTGCTTCGTTTGTTCGTGTACTCGCCAAATCCTCCACCCTGATGACTTTGATGCTACTCCAAAATCTGCACTCGACGACATGTCGAGCCGGACGAGCTAGCTGCTCGGAAACTGCAGGCACGCTACCGCTGCTACCTAATTATAGGGAGATTGGATCAAAACGACTTCCGCGATTCTAATTTCTGCACTGGAACTTGATGACGTATTCTGGAAACCGACATAATACATGGAAACTTTTGGCTCCTCGGAGTAATTCTACATGATTCTGCGCACCTGGACATGCATGCTGTCAGGAAAGGAATATTGAACTCATATGCTACCTAGCGTTTTTAATTGTTTTATTAGATTATTGATTAATTTCTTAACTTGTTTGATTGCTAATCTACTGCATGCAAGTCACAACAAGGAAAATATGTCTACTCCTTGAAAGAAATTTAGGAGGACTCCGGACCAAAAATGTGTGGATGAACTGCACCAAGCAAAATGATTACACACTGAAAAGTTGCTATGGTGGAAATATTGTGCGGAACATTATGCATAACTTGCAAAGGGATTTCAAAGAAGTGTTATTATTGAGCATCACTTATTTATGGAGGAAGATAGGAGTCACTCCAAGGACATGGAAATTTGCTCTTCATTTGCCGCGACTTCATTGGCACGCAACAATTTCAATGGAAATGATGTACTTTGAATTGGAAATTATGCCATAAAACTCCTGCGTTGAGGAAAACTATTATTGTTATAGTACATATTATTTAACTTCGATGAGAAGGGATTAAATTTATTTCTCCCTCTTGGAATTTATGGAATATGGCATACTATTTGGAAAAGGAAGAGTGGAAATATTGCTCAATGGTTAAAATTAGTGCACTATGGAATTTTGTACAATGGCATCTTCTTTTTTGATGGTCCAATGAATGTTGGCAACCCGAACTGTTTATTTGGGGAAGATAACTCCTTATGGAGGAATACCTACAATGGGAATACATGCTTGTAATCTCAATATTTACGCCATGTACGAATTGGACACATATCTTGGAATATGATTAAGTGGTTCATTAATTCTGGAATTCTAAATTTTTAGTGGGGGGACTATCGTACCGATGAAGCATATATAATGGTTATTTCTGGTTTACACGCCTTCTCATAAGGTGGAAGGAGATAAAAAGTTTCACATCATTTTTTTCCTCTGATATACTTATGGTATTTTCTTTGCACTCCCACTAGAGGCCAGGCTATTTATTTTATCTCAGCATTGATGATTGCACTTGATATGTTATGTTTATACTATTTGAAAATACAAGTCGGAATGTTTTATTGTGCTGGTCACATGTTATACTGAAGTGGAAAATCAGTTGATTAAATAATATCATAGTTTTAACAACTGATTGGTGGGGGAAGTACACTTCAGGAATATATCGTTTGTATGTAAAGAGCATGGAACTATTCACCATTGTAATATACTGTACACTCCACAATTGAATGGAGGAATTGAGTGTCTTGTATACTCCCTTTGTTTCTTTGGGAAAAAGCATTGCATACTGTCATTTGTTGATATCATTCTACATCTAGTACAGTCACTTGACTGGAAGGAAATCTTCTATTTTGGCATGCAATTCTCAATTATTACAAAACACACACCAGGAATTTTTCATGGTTATTCTAGTGGATCAAAGGGTATTTCCTTAGTTATCTGAAAAAAAGAATACTGGTGGAAAATAGGAATACAATCATTTTTATGATCAAGGCTGGAACTACTGACAATCATACTGAAATATAGTCTTGACCCAAGGAAACTACAAGTGACACTCCCAACATGACATGCCTAGAATAAGTGGGAGGAATTAGCTTGGAATATCATGTCTAGATAATTGTTATGTGTTGTTGGGGGATGTCACTCTAAATTTTAGAGGAATCACTAAATTCTCTTAAAGTTTTTTTTAATGTCAACTATGGGTGGAATAATTGCGGGAAGGAATAAACTCAAATGAGGAAGAGCATAGTTTGGGAACTTAATATCATACCAAATAACCGCAAGCCTATTGTCTAGAAGTGATTTTTTTTTCTTGTAAGGACAATTGGCTCACTGAATATTATAATGTCACTCTTGTTATTCAATTATTCACACAGAGGGAATTATACTTTGTGGAAACTCTCTCTCCTGGAATTTTGGGAAAGAGGAACTAAAGACATGCTTTGCTAATTGAGTATATTAATGTATGGTCTTATAACAAGCTTCACATCAATGGAATAGCAGGTCATATGGTTTTCTAAATGAAACAAGGTGGTCATCTACAAATGTAAGTGTAAAGTATTTTGCATTATTATTGTATATGTTAACATTGTTTTGTTGTTTGCAATGATAAAGTCACATTGATGGAAGTGAAAGCTTGGTCATTTTTTAATTTTCATATGAAAGGAACATTTGAAACATCCTATGTTTTACAAGTGGAAATACATAGATAATATTTTTGAAGTGTTTCTCTATGGAAAATTGCAAATCTGTTAAAATACCTTTGATAAAGGGAATCATACTCAGTGAGGAATTATATATGAACTTCTGAGGAAAATGGAATAATAAATGATACTGGAATTCGTATGTATCTTCATTATATTATCATACCTTAGCTTTCAGAATTTATGCTGCATTCAAGTAGTGGAAGGAATGATGAGCAGCTAAGGGAATCTCACACAACATATAAGATTGTGGAAAATGCATCGCAACCTGTCACTTGTTCCGGAATTCACATTAAAGGTAAACACATTGAGGAAGGTATTACTATATCTGCGAGATGAGAAATAAGTCAAGGTATGCATATTCAATTATAATTTTCAGTACTAATATGGTGCAGGTTCACTGACTGAAGTCAGGAATTTCTTTCAAAATATGATTACTAATGGAACTTCATTTACTGATTGGAATGATATTTATGTGGTTTTCAAAACTTTATTCAACATGGTTGTCATATATTTTGACTCAATGTAGAATTATTCAATTATTGATATATGTAACTGGAAATAATTGATGCAGAATTTCACTTGAGGAAACAAAATACTCAAGGTGCCTATAAAGATGGAATTACACTCGAGGAAATAATACTTGAGGCGCAGAGGACAGCTATGCTGGAATTATTAGGCGGAAAATAAAGGTCTCTAGAGATCTTGGGTGTCACAACAAGCAAACATATTGAGGGAAGGTTTATTTCTTTGGATTTTCTACCTAGTATTAATATGGTTGCTAGTCCCCTGACTAAGCTTCTTACTGAGGAGGTTTTTGGTAAGCATGTTAAGGCTACGGGTTTACGAATATTTGAATGATT